CAACCTCATTGGTAATCAAGGAAATGCAAAGTAAAAGGAAAACAAGATACATCTTCTACCAACTAGATTAGAAAAAAATTAAAAGCATGACAATATCAAGTGTTGGTGGCATATAGAGAGTTGGATCTCTTAGATACTGCTAGGCGGAGTTGATATTTCTACTTTGGGAAACAAGTTGGCATTATTTAGGTAAAGTTAGACATGTGTATACTCTCCCAGCAAGTTCCTAGGTATATATTGCATAGAAACTCTGGGCATGTGTATTTGAAGAGATGTCACAATGTTCACAGGAGCAATTTATATAATACAAAACGTTGGAAACAACCTTAATGTTGTCTTGATGCTGGGTAATAATCAAATAAATTACAGTGTATTCCATACAATGAATTCTATGCAGCTTATTGTGAATTATATCTACATGCATCAGTTGGATGAATCTTGGGAATGTAAGTTTCAAATAAACAAAAAGCAAGTTGCAGAGATTACATACCCTATATTTCCAATCATATACATTTAAAAAAGTGCAAAATCAAATTCTAAATTGTTTAGGGTTAGGTATACTCATGGAAAAGAAAGTAAAGCAAAAGAATAATGAAAACAAAATTCTGGATAATGGTTACCTCTGGAGGAGTTTGGGAAGGGACATGTCATTGGGATGGGGATTTCAAAGATAGAGGAAATGTTCTATTTCTTTAGCTGGGCAGTGAGTACACAGATATTCATTTTATCATTATTCTCTTTATTTTACACATGATACAAATGTCCTTTTGTATGAATTAAACATTTAACAAAAAATTGAGTCTGTCACTGCTACTTATTAATATTCTGTGATAGTCTCGTGTTTATTTTTTGTCATATTGTTTCTAATGTTTAGAAAGATATCCTGGGAGTTTTAATTAGTCATAGCATATTTAATCTATCTATTAAATTGGAGAGAATTCTTTTTTGCTTTACTAAGCTTTTCTAGCTAGGAAAGGGTAGAGCTCTTGTATTTTATCTCTCCTTTTAAGGTTTTATTATTTTCTTTGAATAAGTATTGTGGCCCAAGTACATCCCTGAGTTTAGTAATGCTTTCATTACTGTCGTGAGTGAAGACGGTCCCCTGTGTGTTTGAGCTGAGACACTGGCTTGCATGCTGAAACTCACTGAGCTCCTCTAGTAACTACCTCTCTCCCCTTTGTTTGCCAGGTGGGCAAGTGTTATGTGCAATGTGATATTTTATTTCTTCACTTTCTCTATATTGTTTATTTTTTCCCTGCTAGCTATTGCCAGCATTTCTCATGCTATATAAAATAGAAACGATGACAGAAAGCTTCAGACTTGGAGTCAGAAGATGTGGGTCTGAGTCCTGGCTCTGTCATATAGTAGCTGAGTAACATTAGGCAAATTACTTAACCTCCCTGGGCTCTGTTTCTCTCGTTTCTTCATCTGGAAAATGAGGGGGCTTAACTTTAATTACTAAGGTTGCTTCTAGTTCTGAAATGAAGCCATTCTAGTGTATCTCCGTTAAGTTAGACTTGGCTCCTTATTTTAAATAGTTTCTCTTCGTTGTGGGGTTTAGTTTTGTCTGTAGTTTTAATCAAGAAGAGATGCTATAGGCTATTGAATGCCATGTTGACATGTATTGGGAAAATTTAATTTGAATTGTAGATCTATATTTTCCATATTATGATGAAGCCAGTGATTGTCTTGCTCATATCATCCCTGCCTTCCATTTAGAGACAAATTATCTGATCATTGAAAGTGATTCTTTGAATATGAGTGTGGATTTGATTAGCTAGGGATTCATTTTGGATTTTTGCCTATATGTTCACGAGTGAGATTTTGATCATAGGCTTTTATTCTGTTTCCTCTTTTTCCTTTTTGTGTGCAGCCCTTGCTCATCCCATTTTTTTCCCTTTGAAAATATTTCTGTATACTTTATGCAGTATAGGAGTTAATTGATTTATTCTTTAAAAGTTGGGGAACTATTTAGGGATTCCATCAAAGCCATGTGCCATTCTAAATGTTTCACCTTGTTTCATCTGTGGATCTGCTCACCTGTTGGGTCTCTTTGAGGAAAGCAGCCATTCAGGTGCAGCTAGGAGGCACCTTGTCTGGGACCACCTGGAGTTCTGCTGCTAACCCCCTCCAGAACCTGGAGCAGGTCGTCTCTTCTGAGTTTTCTCATCTGTAACATGGGAATTGCAACTGCCTCCCAGATGAGGTGTGAAGTAGAGGTGGGCATGCTTTGTAAAGTAGGAACCCCCTGCCCTCTGTCTCAGAGGGAGCCCTAGTAGCTGACTGGGCATCTTATATTTTTACAGGTGCCTGTCCATTTCCATTCAGTTTTTTTTTTGCTTTTTTGGGGTTTTTTTTCCATTCAGTTTTCCGACTCATAAACAGAGCTGAGACTTACAAGCCTGTCCCCACATGCTTTTGGAACATTTATTTTGCATATTCCTTTTTTGTTTCCTCTTTTTTTTTTTTAAAGGTTTTAAATGATAATTGCATTATTTCCTGTCAAGTTTTAAAATCTTTCTTTTTCACGCATTTTAAATTTATACCACTACTAAGAAGTGAGAGAACTCTGATTATAACTCAAGGGTTCCTTTTCTTTTTATTTTATTGTGGAAGAATCTTTGGAACCTATTTTCTTAAGGATCCTCATAGATACAATTACATAGCATTTCCTCTCACAATTCTTTAAAGGTTAGCTTATTGGTTTTTTTGTTTTTTTGTTTTAATTTTTTAAAAATTATTTATTTATTTGGCTGTGTTTGGTCTTTGTTGCTGCGTGCAGACGAGCGGGGGCTACTCTTTTTTGTGGTGCATGGGCTTCTCATTGCGGTGGCTTCTCTTGTTGCGGAGCACAGGCTCTAGGTGCGCGGGCTTCAGTAGTTGTGGCATGCGGGCTCAGTAGTTGTGGCTCGCAGGCTCTAGAGCGCAGGCTCAGTAGTTGTGGTGCATGGGCTTAGTTGCTCTGCGGCATGTGGGATCTTCCCGGACCAGGGCTCGAACCCGTGTCACCTGCATTGGCAGGTGGATTCTTAACCACTGCCACCAGGGAAGTCCCTAGGTTATTGTTTTTTAAGAACTGGAGCTAAGGGAAATAATTCAGAGCAACTAAGATGAATTTTACTCATTAACAAGAAGCTTGTGAACAAGCTTGTTAAGTTATATGAACAAGGATGTATTGGTTTATCTCGCTTTCCTAGAATGTGAGCTTCATGAGCACAGGAGCTTTGTTTTTTTGTGTGTGTGTGTTCACTGATGCATCTGCAGCTCCTAGATCAGAGCCTGGCATATAGTAGGTGCTTAATAAGTACCTATTGAATGAATTAATGAGTATAGGATAGTTCTCATGTTTGATTTTAATAACGTGCATGTTTTTCTTTATTAATGAGACAGTGGCTTATGCATTAACTTTTTGTCAACTATGAGTATTATTTCTGCTTATGGCACCCGTGATTCTTCTCAGTCTGACTCATTCCTGCTCCTGGCTGAGGTACTGGAACACCTTTCCTTCATCCTCCATTGGTTTCCTCCGCTGCCTCCTTCTAGGCTCTTTGATGGCTTCCATTCGTACCTTCTTTTTCTTTCTTTTTGGCTCTTCCTCTTTCTCATCATTCATGTATTCCCTATTCATTTATTCATTCATTCACTTAAGAAATATTATTGACAAAAGCACCTACTGTATGCCAGACTGCTAGGCTTGGAGGAGATGGGGGTAAACAAGACTGTCGTGATCTCTGGACTCATGGAATTTATAGTCTGACAGGGAAGACAGGCCTGGTGATACATTTCATAAATATCTAATCATAAATCATAGTACGTGCTATGACGACAAAGCTTGGGGAGCCTTAGGAAAGCTTCCATGAGGAAGCTGAGATCTAAAGGAAAATTAGGAATTGGTAGGTTTGGAGACTCAGGGAATAGCATGGGGATGGCTGGGGCTGGGGGCAGGGAAGCAGGGTTTACCTCGGGAGCCCAGAGCAGCTGGACTAACTGGAATGAGGGGATTTCAAGGGCACGATTCAGCCAGGATTCGCTCCTGTCCCTCTTTCAGTCATGACTTCTCCTCTAGGACCTGCCTGGCAGGATCCCTACACCGTGACAAACTGCAATGATATCTTGGTTGTCTGCAAATGGCCTATGTTACAGATTTCTTTCCTGGATTTGGAAGTCACTTAAAAAAAAATTTTATGTCATTGTTAGTTGTGTCTTTGGGTAAGTCACTTAACCTCTCAGAACCTTAGTTTCCCTGAAATGGGAGTAATTCTATCTACCCTGTGAGGTCCTCTGTGACCTCTGGCAGGTCACCCTGTGACTGATTGTGGGAGACCCATCTTCCTCACCAGACTGAGAGCCCGAGGGAGGAAGGGAGGGAGGGTCTAACTCACTGGTGTGCTTCTAGCTCCTGTTACCAGGCCTAGCATGGAAGGAGGGGATTGTGGAGGCCTGCACAGAAGAAGAAGCCCCAGGGCTGGGTCCAGAGGACAATCTCTGATTTGAGGGAGGGGGAAGGGCTGCAGAGGGGGGGACCCACCCAGGGTCTGGAAAGTGGCAGACACACCAGTGAAGGCCCAAGCTGGGAGCTGACAGCAACACCAACAATAATAAAGATAGTGCTAACTTACTGGGCCCTTGCCATGTGCCAGACACTGTTCTACACGCTCTACCTATACTCATTTATCCTTTCAGTAGCCCTGTGAGGTAGGTACTGTTATTATTCCCATTTTACAAATGAGCAAACTGAGGCACAGAGGGATAAAGTATCTTGCCCAAGGTCACACAACTAGCAAGTATTGGAGTCTGGATGTAAGACCAGGCACTGTGGCTTCAGAGTGTAGGAAGCAATGAATGCAGAGAAGTGGGAGGGCCTTAACTGCAGGCTCAGAGGCCCATCAAGTCTTTATTCTATTGGCTCTGGGAGCCATGCAGGCTTCGGAGGGAGGGGGTGCTCAGGCTGTGCACGTATGCCCAGGAAAGCTGACCATTGTCATCCCTCTCTCCTGCAGAAACCATCCATGGAGCAGCCCCTGTACAGCAGCAGCCTATGGGGCCCAGTGATCCATGGCTGTGACTGCATAGCTGAGGGCCTGTGGCTGCCGCAACTACATGTAGGGGACTGGCTGGTCTTTGAGAACATGGGCGCCTACACCGTGGGCATGGGTTCCCTCCTCGGGGGCGCCCAGACCTGCCGCATCACCTATGCCATGTCCCGGGTGGCCTGGTAAGGGGGCCCTGCTGGGAAATGGAGTGGGGGGGAGAAGGGAGCAGCCTGGGCAGAAGCAATAAGGGGAACCCCAGGTCTGGGTCCCTGCTCCTGTGTAACCCAATGTGACAAGTAGCTCTTGGCTGCTGATTCCAAGTGAGGCCTGTGCTTGGCTGTGGCCATGAATGAGACTGAGCTTCCCTTGAGGAGTTCAGAGTCCCGTGAGAGACACAGAAGCAGACAGACACTCCTGATAATGCAGTGCTGGAGGGAGGGGGGCAGGCTCTGGAGGCTTAGAGCCCCGCCCCCATCCCAAGGCCCAGATCTTCCTCCCTGAGGAAGGAAGGATGAAGCCAAAGCCTGGTGGACAAGTGGGAGGTAGGTGGCAGGAGGGGCAGGAAGGGGGTTCCAGGCAGAAGGAACAGGGAGCGAGCATAACTTCAGGAAACTACACGAGGTTGGTCGGGGCTGGAGGAGGAGCAGGGTTGGATCTGGGAAGGGACTTGAAGGAAGTTGAGAGCTTTGAGCAGCAGCAAGCAGGGACTTGTTCGAAGCCTGAAAGACCACTCTAACTACTGGGTGGATTAAGGGAAGACAAAGGCAGATGTAGATAGAGCTGATCACTTGGGTGGCTGCTTTGTGACCCGGGAAAGACAAAGACTCGCCTGCTCACTGAGCTTGCCCACGGCAGGCCAGCAGTGGGATCCAGTGAGGCCAGATGGAAAGAAAACTAACCCTAACCCTAACCCTAACCCTAACCCTAACCCGTTGAAACTTTCTGTCAGGCCCTACATTAGGCACCTTTTGACGATTTCCTTTTACCCACACGAACAGAGGTCTCTTGCTTGAGGTCACACAGCTGGTCAGTGATGAAGAGGCCCCCTCTTTGGGGACTGGGGCAGTTGGGAAGGGCTTTTATAATGGGCTTTCAGGAGTGAGTGCAGCCTGCATCCCCAGGGACATGCTGGGTTCCTGAGCCTCTTCCCTGCACCCCCCCACCCCCGCCCACCCCCGCCGGAACAGTGCTACCAAATGCCAGGCCTGACGGGGCTCAGTATCAAAGTTGCATGTCATTTATCCAGTCAACAAACCTGTTGTTTCTACTCCCTGCAGGGGCACGGGATAGGCTGATGCCACCATTTTGGCATCAGGGGTCTGTTTTGACAAGGCCTAAAAAACAAAAGTAAAAAAACAATAATCACACAGACTTCCTTATCCCATCCTGGCACCATCACCAGCAAACACAGCTGGATGAGGCTGCAGAGAGTCAGATGCACTCATTACTTAGGAACACAAAATTTTGATGTATTGAAATGGCCATGTCAAAAAATACCCCATATTAAAGGGGCCTCATCATAATGTCCTACTTTAGAGTCTGGCTCTGTGCTGTGTCCTGGCGGGTAAAAGAGCATCTGAGAACATGGTGAGCCAAGGCATGGACCTGCATACACAGATCCTGGCATAGAGAGTGCCAAGGTCACTAGGGAGGGAGGGCCAGCAGGCTGGGGAGGGTGGTCAGGGCTGCTTCTCAGGAGGCCTGATGGGTAAGGAGGGCCAGGCAAGCTGACAGGAGGGTGGTCTGGGCCAGGAGGGGTAGGGGCTTCAGAGTCTAGTCCATCCGAAGAATTTTTAGTAGCTCTGGCTCGCTGGAGTGGACTGTGGGTAAGAATAGATCAAGAAGGACCTTGGAGGCCCGGGTTGGACTTGATCTTGAAGGCAGTAGGGAGCCAGTGAGGGGTTCTAAGAAACTTATCTTTCAAAACTCATCTTGAAAGATAAGGAGACAGAGGCTCAGACAGAGGGTGCTTGGCCCAGAGGACCTCCCACCTGGAAGGGAACGGCCTGACTGGACTCTGCAAAGATACTGACTACTGATTTGCTGCTGAATTGCACATATGGGCAAAGACGGAGGCCTTCCTGCAGGTGGGGGACTAGAATAGGCTGGAAGTATGAAGGGAGGGAAGGGAAGATGTAGGCGGAAGAGGGAGGGTTTTGTGGGGAAGCAGAACTTGGCAGAAGTAAAGGACAGGCTGTCATGCTGCCCCTACCCCCAGGCCTCTTGACACTGAACCCAGTGCTCTTTCC